GGATGCGTAAAGAGCATCAACAAGTGGGCAGATTACAAAAAAAAGTATGGAACTTCTAAATCACACATCGAAAGGGCATACAATGCCGGTGTTCAGCAGCTCATTTCTGCTGCGGTGATGCCAACAGTTTCTTCAAAGGGGGTGTACATGGTCCGAACCCAGCCATTGGGAATCCCGGCACGGTTTAAGGTTACATCGGAGGACTGCATGACCCTTGCGCAGGACATGCTTAGTGCTCTGGCTGCTCTGCACAAGCTGGAGCTGGTTCATCGAGACGTCAGACTGGACAACATGATCTGGTCTCCTGACAGGGCGTGCTACGTGCTTATTGACTTAGAGCTTGTTTCCAAAGCTGGCACTAAGATGAAGGTATTGCTTACGGACTACACACCGACAACCTTGGTGAATGGGAAGTACACCAAGACTTCTGATCTCCATCAGCTTGGTGAGGTTATCGAGAAGCTCAAGCTCAAGCTGCAGCCGGAGTGCAAAGGATTTGTGCAAGCACTCAAGAGCCATGGCTCCACTGCTGAGAAAATGCTTTCCCATAAGTGGTTGTCAAGCTCAGAGGTAGATATTTCCCCTTCCCCTAAACGTTTCTCCTCCATTCTTTAGAAAAGCAATAATAACTAAAAAAATTATTGCTTCAAAAATCTTTGTAAATTGCTTTGAAGATTTTGTTTACTTTTCTAGGAGGGAGGGAGGAGATGTCTCTTGTCTCCAGACAAGAGACATTTCCAGACTCGAAATTCTAGTCAAACTGAATCATAGAGTTTGAAACATAAGAAGACATTGCTTAGGGCTCTGCTTTCACTATTTTAGGCCCGTTTTTTACCCTTACTAACTAGGTTTAGGACAAAAGAAACATAAATGGTTGTAAATATATATAATATATATGTATGGTCAGAGATAATCCGCTTTACATGCTAGAGGTACGCAGGTGGATTGTTCCCAATGGTTTTCCTTCAGTGCTACAAGGAAGCTTTTGTTTACGAACAACGATGATCCTTTCAAAAATGGTCATACAATGTGCAAAGGTGATCATTTTTATTGGACTAACGTTATTGAAAACCCAGAGCTCTGGTTTCAGCGGTTGGGTTTTTGCTCCTAACATGAGCTTTCATAGGATGGAAGATCAAAGTTTCTTGGTTGGTGCAGATAAAAGGTATGTTTTGGTGCCAAGTTTAAAGATTGCTAACTCAAGGCTAGGATGAGAAGCCTTTCCAAAAGCTTCTTGTGAGGAAAATAACGTTTTTCATTGCCAATGAGACGAGTATCAGTCTCGGAACGTATGATCGTTCCACCGGCTTCAACAGGTTGAAGACTTTGGCTGAATATAAAAATTATTTGCAACTTTTCTATGTAGGCAAGTAGGAGTGGCTTGATTCCACGACAAACGACCCCCATCTTTTCCAGAATCTCCCGAGCTCGGGAGAGATGACTTTCAACAGCCATTGAAGTCTATGCACGGATACGGGGTATAGTAACGGAGTCCACGAAACGCTCTACAACAGGTATATGCCTTTCACTGTCAGTTTCATCATCCATGCGTTTGATGCAGTAGGCGAGTTCTCATGGCAACTTGTAGAAGTCAAAAGGATATTTGACGTGCAACTTCGACTTCTAGGCATGATCACAACTTGAGGCCAGCTACATTTCACTATCCTAGTGAAGAGGTAAGTGGGCTTGACTGAAAAGCTAGAACTATTTTCTAAACTCTACGTACAGGTGATCGAAGGCAGCTTGACTCTTTTCATTTCGCTATGGCGATTCATGAAATTTCATCGTCTCCCCACCTTAATTCTTTGGTTGCCCAGGTCCTGGAAGGTATTAAAAGGCAAGCTGTTCGTTCTGATTGAGTTTCTCGTTTTGTTTGGTAGGAGGAGATTGTGAACGAGTACGGGCACCAGGAATGCATATGATCCACCTTTGCAGAGGACGTTCGACAACCTGAAAAGGTAACTGGCATCCATGTTCCATGTTTCTCTCTGATACCAGTTGCTTCACAGATAAATTCAAGCAAAGGTGGAGTTGAAACAGCACCAAAAGGAGCATATCTACAAGGCAATGGAAGCTCCGTTTGTGAGAATTCACAGTATACGCAAGTCCAGGTTAGTCCTATTCAAGTCTGCTGGCACTTTCCTTCAAAGACACTATTTTAGATCTGCAAGCTCTAGCCAGGAAGATACCGTGGAAAGAAAGTCGACGATTGTACAAATGCAAGCCAAAGGTGCGTCAAGATCTTTACTTTACATTTTTCAATACGGCTGACAGTGTGCTTTTACCGTCGTAGATCAGGCAGCTGCCGAGGCCGAACGAGCAAAAGAAAAAGGCTGCGACGAACTACGGTTGGCGTCAGCTTGCTTTGGACGGAAAGGTAAGATCTATAGAAGAAAAAAAACACTTCTTTTTCAGCATAAGAACGTTTTATCTCGCCAGGAAAGAAGCTCTCGCAAGAAAGAGGCCCTCATTGAGCGCATTATAGCCGACTTGTGAGTGTAATCCACCTACACGGAGTTAAGCAAGCCGAATGAAATCTCGGTTTTGCTAACCTTTGTTTGTTTGCTGTTCAAGGAAGCTTTTGCTCTTTCGAAAGTGGAGCATATTCGCGCGAGATAAAGGAAAGAGAAAAGGCAGGAAGTAAAAACAAAAGCCCGGCTCTCTCTACAACAAATGCGGGCATTGATTCGATCGAAAGAGCTCTCAGGGGGAGGAGAAAACAAACTTCCGCTGGAGCGGAGAATTGAAGGATCCTGGCCCCTGGGCGATGGAGCTTTTGTTGGTTTCGTCGCTCCCGTTGATCGCATTAACAGGCCGGTGACTGTTATGCAATCAGATCATTCAATGTTTGGGCGAAAAATCTCGCAAAACTTTCAAAGACGACGATGCTACCAGAGGGAATTCATTCAAATCCGGAAGGGAAAGAACGCCATAGAACGAATCAATCTCCACTCGTAATGACCGTACGGCCATTGGGGCGATCAAACAAACACTCCCGAGTGAAAGTTCTTCCAAGTTTAAGCTGCGCTTAGCACGCGAATCTATTCAATCCAATCCAATCCACCTACACGCAGGAAGCAAGCAAGCACGTCTACCTAGATAGCCTCCTAGTCTTTTTTTTTTCATTCTTTTTTTCTCGTTCTTCCCTATTCACCTAGAAATCTCGCCACTGCGCTCTCGCGTTGGCTCAACAACAGTGGGGCGGCGGATAAAAACAATAGATTCGAGTGGACCTGGGTGACAAAGAGCGTCGCATTGGGCACCTAATCTCTCTCTCAAATTCCTCTCAATCTCTTCTTCTACCTTTCTTCCATTCCGTAGTGCCCTTCGCTTGCTCTCTCGCAATTAACGCCCCCGGGGACGAATCCAGAGCGCGCGAGCTATGGCAATTGGAACTGGGCTCGCTCGGGTGTGGCGGAATCCGGGCGGCAAGCTGGGATTTTGAGCGCGCCCAATGCGAGACAGGGTCATGAATCGCTGACCCAAGTCGCCGGATTCGCGAAATGTCGAGCAGCGGGAGAGGAATCAAGCCCACAGGGAAGATCCAAGAGCAGAGAAAGATCGCTCAAGAACAGAGGAGGCTGGCCATGAGATGATTGATTGATTGATTGGCGATGAACAGCAGCGCTAAGAGGAACAGCAGCGAGATGAAGGCGAGCGCCGCATCGGCGAGTTCATCCGGGCGATCCAGCAAGAAACTCAACCATCCCCCACAGGTGAGAGAGATCAAAGCTTTAGATCGATCAATCAATCGCAAAGCTGCTCTTGCCAGGTCGAGAGCGCCTCCTGCTACTGCCGCGCGGAAGCCCCCAACGCAATCTCCTCCCACAGCGCCAAGAAATTCGTCCCGGCCACCGCCAGGCACTGCGTCCTCCAGGAAGAAGCGATCAAGCCGCCTCCAGCCGTCCGATCAAGATCTCGAGCCCGATCCAACGGCTCAAATCCACAGCTCATCCCGGGCCTTCCAGACGACCTCGCCATCGCCTGCCTCATTCGCGTCCCGCGATTCCACCATCGCGCGCTGCGAATCGTTTGCAAGCGCTGGCATCGCTTGCTCGCCGGCAATTTCTTCTACACCCAGCGCCGGATCGCGGGGCTGGCGGAGGAGTGGGTCTTCGTGATCAAGCGCGACAACGAGAAAGAGGGCGGCCGGATCTCCTGGCATGCATTCGATCCGCGCTTCCAGCAGTGGCAGCCGCTACCGCCCATCCCCCAGGAGTTCTGCGAGGCGCTGGGATTCGGCTGCGCGGTGCTGGGCGGATGCCATCTCTATCTCTTCGGCGGCAAGGATCCCGCCAAGGGATCGATGCGCCGGGTGGTGTTCTACAGCGCGCGCACGAATCGATGGCACCGCGCGCCCGAGATGCTCAAGCGGCGCCACTTCTTTGGATCCGGCGTGATCGACAATTGCCTCTTCGTGGCGGGGGGAGAATGCGAGGGCGTCCATCGCTCGCTACGCAGCGCCGAAGTGTACGACCCTGCACGGAACCGGTGGTCGTACATCTCGGACATGAGCACGGCCATGGTCCCATTCATCGGGGTGGTGTACGGAGGAAACTGGTTCGTCAAGGGGCTGGGTTCACACCGGCAGGTGATGAGCGAAGTGTACATTCCGGGGCAGAACGTCTGGTCGCCCATTCTCGACGGAATGGTGACCGGATGGCGGAATCCCAGCGTGGCGCTGGGGGGGACGTTGTACGCTCTGGATTGCCCCGACGGGTGCAAGCTCCGGGTGTACGACCCAGGGAGCGACACGTGGAAGAGATCCGTGGATAGCAAATTCCACCTGGGGAATTCCCGGGCGCTGGAGGCGGCGGCGCTGCTACCGTTGGATGGGAAGCTTTGCATCGTGAGGAACAATATGAGTATTACCGTGGTGGACGTGGGCGATGGAAGCTACGTGGGCGATGGTAACGATGGTAGCGGCGGTGGTAGTGGTAACGCTAGAATTTCACAGGTATGGGAGACCATCGCTGGGAAGGGCCACTTTAAAACATTCGTGACGAATTTGCTCTCCAACATTGCGGGAAGAAGCCGACTAAAGAGCCACATTGTCCACTGCCAGGCTCTATCAGCATAGAGGTAGCAAAAAATTCTTATCAAAGTCTTGTTTTTGGGAGAAGATCCATCCAATCCACAGCAAAAAAGAAAGGAAAGAGTGTTCTTATTCACGCGATTCCTCGTCTGTGCCCAAAAGACGAAGATAAACAAACTAGAGAAATAAAAAGCAAAGGAGAGAACGAACCAGTGATGGTGCTCTTGATCTTTTTTCCGATGGAGCTGGACGAAGGGTGATTTCTTCGCTTGTTCCTCTACGCGACTCGATCGATTCAGTGAATCGCTGGAGCTAAAATTCTATCGCAAAAGCATACGCACCCGTGAGATTGAGCGACATGTTGAGGACGATGCCAAATGTGACCGCGAATCCGGCGAGGTATGGCCACTGCATCTTGGCGAGCGCCAGCGCGCTGCCCCACACTGATCGCTTCCAGATCTCGTCGCCCCTCATCGCTCTCGCCCAAAAACCCTCTCGCCCTAATCCACAAAAGGTATTTCTAACACCAAAGGAATATACTCAATAGCCGAAGAACCCTAAACTCCAACTTAACCGTACTTAAACATGTTTACTTAATGTTAAGCGACATATTTAGTTAAGACAAAACATGCTTATTGAGCTCAAGGGTCTTTGTATTGTCAAAATTCGTAGCACAAGAAAGAAAAGAAACAATCGATCTGATCCATCCACGCCTCGAAAAACCCGAGAGCGCGATCGATCGATCGAACCAATCACGCCGTGAGCACGACGGCGCCGCCGCACTTCTTGATCTTCTTCTCGGCGTGCTTGGAGATGAACTTGGTCTTGACAACGATGGGGAAGTCGCCCGAGACGCGACCCTTGCCCAGCACCTTGAAGAAGCCGTGCTCGCTCACGTCGATCAGCGGCGCCTCCTTGCCCCCCTTCTTCACCTGGGCCTTGACGTCCTCGGGCACCAGCGACCACAGCTTCTCCACATTCACCGTCGGGCGGTAGTACTTGTTCCTGTTGAGATGGAAGTAGCGCATTCCTACCTTGCCGAAGTAGCCCGGATGATACTTGTCGAAGAGGATCCGGTGATGGTGGAGGCCTCCCGCGTTACCGCGCCCTCCCGGATGCTTGCGGTGCTTGCCGATGCGCCCATGCCCGTGACTGACATGGCCCCTCTTCTTCCTGCTCTTCTTGAATCTCGTCGTCATCGCCGCCTCCCTTCTTCCTGCGGCTCAAGAACCCTAGAAAGCAAATCTCAAAAACCCTAAGACCTAGCCGTCCGATCTAAATCAAGGGCCCCAAATCGTAGCCGTCGAATCATCAAGAGCCCAAAATCATAGCCGTCGGATTAAATCAATAAACCCTAAAAGCTTAGCCCTAAAAAGTAATGCGGATCCCCTTGCCCTTTAACACGTTAAAACATAATCCCAACGCTTATCCATCCTTTGTCTACATTTTTCTTGCTTGGATCACTCGTAGCTCAGTCTCGTTGGCTGAGGAGCCACAGCCAATCTTCGCGGCACACCGATCTCGCAAGCATTCACTTTGGCCGCAAACCGGAGCGAGCACAGAGATTCGTGCAGCGACTTGGCCTCGGGGGCGATGTTGACGAACATCAGCGTCTTCGAATCTCCACCTAAGCAAGGCTGCAAGATAAAAAAAAGGGGAAGAAAATCTCGCTCAGTACATATAAGATCCTCGCTAAGCAACTCAAAGTCCAAAGCCATATCATATCCTCTCTTTGTTTACCTGGAGAAGATACGTGAGCTTGGAGTTTCTGTAGGGAACGTGTTGTTCTTTGTTGGCAATCGCGGCAATCACGTCACCGAGGCTGGCCAAGCTTTTGTTTATGGCCTGCGGGACAAGAAAACTCGATGGAGTCAACACATATATTCTTTGCGAGCACGAGCCTTGATTGTACCTGCGTCTCTTTGAGACGATCTCCAGTTGATCCACTACGGGAGAGACGTTCGCTCCCCGCCAAATCAATGAGATTCAACACCCCATTGACTTCTTGCTCGGTGCTCTGTTAAAAAAGGAAGAGAATTATGCATAGCCTTGAAGTCGCCACTAGACTTTTTTTGTTACCTCGTTGGACCCGGTGATGCGTAGTGTAAAAACGCAATGACTCCTCGACGACTGTTCGTTCAGTGCCGTTTTACCCACAGATCTACAAAGAAAAAAGAACAAACAAAGAATCAAAGAGTTGAAAACAGTGGTGTTTTGCATACGCGAACCAAAACAAAGTATTACCTGCTTACTGTAGCCCGATGCAAGAGTGACGATACTTCTTTCCAATTGGTGACATCAACCACAGTGAGATCTGTGACATATGTGTTGCCAGTTTGATCGTGCTTCACCTGGTACTGCTGCTGACATTTCATCGGAGTCCCACCTTCTGTAGCGCTAGCACGACCAGAACCCAGCAGATCTCGTATTTGCTCGTTGTAAATTTCCAGCATAGACGCCTGCGTGCATTTGTCAAAACCACAAAGAAAGAAAATATCAGATATACCTGCATCCTGAATGTCCAGCCTCTAGTGATCAGCTCTTGACTAGATCTGAATATCTGCTCCAGAGACCGCGGAATCACCCCCCTCAGTTCATCTACTTCGGGATTGCCAAGCATTGTGTGTGTTTTTCCTGAGCCAGTCTGACCGTACGCAAATATACACACCTGCGAAGTGTTTCATATGAGTGGCAGTAGAAAAGATACGCTTTTCTTAATGACCTTGTATCCATCCAGAGCACTTTGCACAAGTTGAGATATTTCTGTAAACACGCTCTCTTGGCCAGTTTCAGGACCAAACACTTTGTCGAAAGAAAAGAAGTGCCTTTGACCTGCTTTGGAAAGGAGGGTTCAATAGCTTTCGCAAGAGAACGCAAACTTACCTTGCATGGGAACGAGTTCCACTCCACGGCCAAGCAAGTCTGTTGTGTTCGGATACTGCACCACGGAAATGCCTGCTTCTGGATCACCTTCTTCTTGAAAGATTGGACGCACTCGACAAAACACCCGAATGTTTCCTTTCATTTCCTGGAAGTGACTCTTTGGTTAGATTACGATAGATGACGTTCTCGGTATACCTGAATAGTGTTGTGGAGCTTGCGACGAATTTCTTCACCTTCGCGAATTCGGATATCAGCTTCAGCCAGACGATTCGTCAGATCTTCTATTAGCTCTCTGTTCTCCGCAACTTCAGTCCTTTCTTGAAGATATGAGCGCTCGGTTATCTGCGTTGATAAAGAAAAGAACTGGATAGAACAATCCATGGCATTGGGCATTTCGTACCAGCAGTTTGTGGTTTGCAACGTCTAATTGCTGGCGCAAACCTTTTACTTGCTCGGTTTGAGAAGTATAGCATTCCTTTAAATAAAATTCACGTATAATGATTTGAATAAAACGGAAGTTCAAAAACGTTACCTCCAATGCGATTGCCTTACTGCTTAAAAACTCAAGCTCTGCAGCCGACTTACCAGTACATTCCTTGTACGTATTGTTTTCTTCCATCAGAGACTGAACATGAGCTGCATGCTGGTCACGCTCGTCAGTAATGCGTTGAACTTCTGCCCGTAGCCTTTCCGCCTCGTCTATCAAAGCTTTTTTCTGTTTTAACTCTTCCTGCAGAGTCGCCTGCAATTGACGGGGAAGGTGAGGCCAAGAAAGAAACAGCTAGAAACGAATTCTACCTTAAGCATATCTATTTGTTCTTGGAGTGCCGCGGTGTGGCCACGTAAACTGCCCAAAGTTTCCATTAAGGTAGTCTTTTCCTTTTGAAGTTTCCCGCAAGCTTCTGCCGAGACTGATGCATCACTTTGCAATTTGCTGTTATATTGTTGCAAGCTAGTATTATACTCCTGCAAGCGTTTGTTGAGATCTTGAAGCGACAGCACCTGACATATGGACAAGATTGGTATATTTGTGGTTTAAAAAGAAAAATATTACCTGATTCGACAAGCTCGTGGCTTCACTCCGTGATCTTTCAAGCTCCTCAACAAGTCCAGCCATTTCTTTACCCGTTGCTTTTAGTTGTTCCATATCTTTTTCTCTAGCACACAATAAAGACTACACAAACCAGATAAAATCAGCTCATGCTTAAACAAACGTCTGGTCACAAACCTCCTTTTCCGACATGACTGACATCAATCTATCTTCCAGTGATGTACATAGATTCTTGAGCTCAGAAAGACCTTGCTCCAGCTCATCCTGCTTTTGCCTTCGAAAAGCCTCTGCAATTGGAAGAGAAAAAGTCAGACACAGGCAACACCGGATACATCGTACCAGTTACTTCTCGATCGCGTCTTTCTCCGTCAAGCGCGCTCTCAAGGTTTTCCTTTTCAAAACTTAGCTTCTCCTCCTGGTCTTGGAACTGCCTGATACAAACTCGAAGCTTCTTTATGTAGTCACTCATCTGCTCGTTCTTACCCTGTCACACACAACAATCCCCGTCGCACAAAATCACTAGAAAAGAAGAAAGTACCTTGAAATCAAACTTTGTCTTTCCAGCCATCTTCATGGCTAACAACGCGTCGACATCAGCCCTGGACAAACTGCAAGCCTCTGATAGAGAACCCTCCAACGCCACGCTTTGGTGTGTCTGGAGCGGATGAGAGGGGCTTGCATCCAACAGCGTGGTGAGCACAGGACGCGAGCACCTCGTCTCTGGGGCTTGAGGCGTCTGCTGCCTGACTCCAAACACATCCTTACACACGGTCTTCCTCCTCTTCTCAAACGGCGAGTTAAGGCAGTTCTCCTTTTGCTGCAAACAGCGCGATCGTCTCATCTCAGCACCATATTTCCAGAGATCTCTACAACCGCCTAGCTCATCTAGGAACTTACATGGTGTGGATCTTTCTGTGCGCTGTTTGGCGCACTCCCGGGCGTGTATCCAGGAATTTTGCTCGATCTCATGGCGCCGGAGCCGCGATCCGCTGGAAATCACCGAGAATCGTGAGCGCCTTGCCGCTCACAGACGGCGCGCTGGGCTAGATCGCGATAACCTAAACCCGCATTGCTCAATCCAAAATCCCTCTAGCTCGCTAGGGCTTCTACGAACAAAGGCATGGTTTGAAGCCAACGGTCATATTGCGTAGCGACCGTTGATTTTGTCCTGGAGATTTGAGTACACAGTCGCGTGTTCGATCCATAGCACGTCACAGGCGGAATTAGGGCAGATTTTAGGGTATTTATTTTGTCCCGGGCGGCGCAAGTTTAGGGCTCTTGTGGCAGTGTGTGTGTACTAGAGCTGTGCTTGCTCCCTTTGCAGCTCTTGAATGGTACTACTGCTAGATTCCTTGTGGGGAGCGTGGGCAGTTGTTTCGTAGGCGCTGCCAATCACGAATCTCAACAATCACGCTCTCTAGATCTAGAATTTTGCTTCTTCTCGCCGCTCGTTAGGCAGAACATTGGGGCTTTTTCTCTCGTCGCCCGCGATGTGTTGTACAGTGGCAAAATTCTCCCGCATCGCTCCGGGTAGCCTGTAGATAATCTGGATAAGCAGGCTCTTTCGAAAACGGTGCTAGATTTCTCAGGAATTTGGAATTCAAGGGTGCTGTGATGATGAATTTGCCAGTTTTTAGCCAGTTCTGCTTCTGAAATCTTCGTGATCGAGAACTGGTACTCTTAGTCTGAGCTCTTTCTTGCCATTGCTCGTTTCAAGAGGCGTTACCCTAGCGATCTCTTTCGCTGGGGGTGTCGATTCGAGCATAGATCGATTGTTTAAGTCCAGCTTTAAACCATTGCCAGAGATCCCATTTCAATCGGCCTGGCAATGACCTGTCTACTGGAACATGTTAAGAACCCTAAAACTACGGACGAATATTCGTTTTTAAAATTTAAATTTTGCGCGCGAACTAATCCTCTCGCGATCTTACGCGGTCGTGATCAGTAGAATACATTGAATTCATGAATTGAGAGGAAAGAATGGCGGCAAATCCTGCGCAAAACCTACAAATCCCCTGTGCTCTAGCCCTCGCCCTCTTCCTCCTCGAACTCGCCCTCCTCGTCCGCGCTCGCGTCCTGGTACTGCTGGTACTCGGACACCAGATCGTTCATGTTGCTCTCCGCCTCCGTGAACTCCATCTCGTCCATCCCCTCGCCGGTGTACCAGTGAAGAAACGCCTTCCTCCGAAACATGGCCGTGAACTGCTCGCTCACCCGCTTGAACATCTCCTGGATGGACGTGGAGTTGCCCACAAACGTCGCGGACATCTTCAATCCCTTGGGCGGGATGTCGCACACGCTCGACTTGACGTTGTTTGGGATCCACTCGATGAAGTAGGACGAGTTCTTGTTCTGGACGTTGAGCATCTGCTCGTCCACCTCCTTGGTGCTCATCCGGCCCCGGAACATCGCCGAGGCGGTGAGGTAGCGGCCGTGGCGAGGATCCGCGGCGCACATCATGTTCTTGGCGTCCCACATCTGCTGCGTCAGCTCCGGCACCGTGAGCGCGCGGTACTGCTGCGAGCCGCGCGACGTGAGCGGCGCGAAGCCGATCATGAAGAAGTGGAGGCGCGGGAAGGGAATGAGGTTGACGGCCAGCTTGCGGAGGTCGGCGTTGAGCTGGCCCGGGAAGCGCAGGCAGCACGTCACGCCGCTCATGGTCGCCGAGATCAAATGGTTGAGATCGCCAACTGCAAAAACACGAAGTTATCAGTGTTGTTCTCACAGAATTCCGATCGCCCAAGTTCCAATTTCTGGTTTTCTTACGTTTCCAGGTGTTTCAAGAGCAGGGAAGCAAGAATGAAAAGCGCCCAAGTCCCAAAATCTGATTTTTATGCATGGTTTCGTTCTCAAGTTCCCCGAAAGAGAGAGTGGATCGATCGCTCACAGGTTGGGGTAGTGAGCTTGAGCGTGCGGAAGCATATGTCGTACAGGGCCTCGTTGTCAAGCACCATGGATTCGTCCGAGTTCTCCACAAGCTGATGAACCGAGAGAGTTGCGTTGTATGGCTCCACCACCGTGTCGCTCACCTTGGGCGACGGGAAGACCGAGAAGGTGAGCATCATCCGGTCCGGGTACTCTTCCCTGATCTTGGAGATGAGCAGCGTCCCCATGCCGGATCCCGTCCCGCCACCCATGGAGTGGCAGACCTGGAAACCTGTTCATCCAAATCCACACAAGCCAGTGTCAGTGAACAAAGTTTCGGGCGATCGTGTTCTTTCGTATCTTTGAGAATCGATCGATATACCTTGGAGGCAGTCGCAGCTCTCGGCCTCCTTTCGCACGACATCCAGCACCGAGTCGATGAGCTCGGCCCCCTCGGTATAGTGGCCTTTCGCCCAGTTGTTCCCGGCTCCGGTTTGGCCAAACACGAAGTTGTCCGGGCGGAAGATCTGGCCGTAGGGGCCGGATCTCACGCTGTCCATGGTGCCGGGCTCCAGATCCATGAGCACCGCGCGGGGGACGTAGCGGCCGCCGCTGGCCTCGTTGAAGTAGACGTTGATGCGCTCGAGCTGGAGATCCGAGTCGCCGTGGTAAGTTCCCGTGGGATCGATGCCGTGCTCGTCACACACCACCTCCCAGAACTTGGCACCGATCTGGTTGCCGCATTGGCCGCCTTGGATGTGAAGGATCTCCCTCATCGCTGATAGGATTCCTCCTCAATTACTGGGAATCGGGTCGATCGATCGATCGATTGATCGATGGATCGCTTCTTCCTCGTGAGAAGATTGATGAGAAAAAAGAGATTTTTTTTCGAGAGAAGTTTGCGGCCACACTTTTGCTCTTTTCAGTTTGGTTGTTTCGTGTGAAGTTGAAGGAAACTGTCGGCCACCAGAACCGCCGAAACCGCCGGAACCGTCACTCGGCTAAGGCGGGCATATTCGATCTAGGATGACGTGGTTAACCGGCTGCCACGTCTGCCCATGAACTCCGGGAACTAGGGCTTATGTGTCTGGGTTTAGGGGCACGTTGTTTGGGGGTTTTTGGCAGCGATGGCGATGGAGAGATGTGCCACCGCGCCGCCGTCCGGGTACCTGGAGAGCTTCAGCACATTCGAGGCGCCGGTATGTAACATTCTTGCGAGATTTTGCTGGATCGTTTGTTCTTGAGCGGCGGCATTGCGAAATCTCGCCTCTATTGCGAAATTTTGCTAGATCGTTTCCTCTTGAGCAGCGGCATTTTGGTTTCTTCCAAGAGTAATGTGTTCTTGCCCTGGATTTTTTCCAGTTCCAGCCTGGTATGCGATACATACCACATGATCTTGGCTATGAAGCTCCCTATCGACCGGGCAAGGCCGTGTCCTTCCCCGACGCCAAAGGTCGCGTATCAAGCTTGGATGATGGATTGGTCGCGCGGACTCCAACTCTGGTATGCTTTCTCGCATTTCCTCTTTCTTGGGAATTTAATCTAAGAACGCAACAACGGCCAGACGATTCACGATCGCTAAATCGTTGCCAGGAGATTATGATTGAGATTCTTCGTCGAGTTTCTCTCTCCGAGTCGTCTGCAAGCTCGGCAACTTTGGGTATGAATCTTTCTTTCTCCATCGCTCTAACATCTGAAGTTTTCTTTCTCTCGCAGTGGAGGCCTGGCATTAAACGCGTTGATCCTGGAAGTGGTTCTCTGAGTGAGAGGCCTTTCAAACCAAGCTTGCGTATGGTGCCCGGTCCCGAGGACAACAAGCTCGCGCTGTGGAAGTCGAGCATACACAGTGTTGATCACGTAGACGAGAGCCTCGGGGATTCCAAGTGGAAGTCCTCGCGGCATCGGCCCTCGATATTCTCCGAGTGGTATCTCGACGAGACTGCCAACCCCGAGTGGCGATCCACCAGGAAGCCTGGAACGTATTTACACCAGCCCGAGTGGATTCCACCCTTCCGGGAGTACGAAGGCAAAGTTCCTCGCCGGGTATGCATTGAAGCTTTTTTCTTCTTCATTCGTTTTCTAAGACTTTGGTACCTCTGTGACAGTTCTACTCGATTGTTCCTGGTGAAGCAGCGAGAGCGGCAGCTGCAGCCGGTGCTGCCGCTGGAGCTGCTGGTGCTACGAGCAGAGGCGGCCCGGTTGGGAAAAGAAAAAGCAAAGTTTACAACCAGTTCGCGACGACTTTACACTACGACGAGAACAAGAGATTTGTGGGAGGGATCAAGATCGTCCCGAGGCCTAAGAGTGATACTCTGGGGCCTTTCGTGTCAGAGCAGACACCCAGGACAAAGAGGCAGTTTACCAGTCACATTTGTCACACAGATGGCGTTAGCACTCTCATGAATCACAACCAGGATAAGGACTACAACTCGTACATATTCCACTAGAGTACTCGCAATCGTACCGGCATAGCTGGGAGAATATCGACTTGGAATTGGCAGGACTTCAAACTTTCTTATTCATCAGAAGTTCTTAACTTGGAAGTTGTGACAGATTCAAGCAGAAGAAATCAGCGTGGCAAAGCTTGCAGCGGTTTATATTTCTCCGTCCCAGAGCTCTTTGACGCTCTTGTATGGACTGGTGGAGTCGTTCACCCATTCATTCCCAGGCATGCCCCGTTTCTACACAAAGCAGACACGAGAGTTATGATCTTCTGCCAACAACGATCCAAGAACTTAGTACCTGGGAGATCTTGGAGAACTTTTGGAGGTCCTCCTCTGCAATGGTGAAATCGAAGACCTCCAGGTTGGACTTGAGACGGTCGGCATTGGTGCTCTTGGGAAGAACAGAGTTTCCAGATTGGATCCCCCATCTCAGAGCAACCTGTGCCGGGGACTTTCCAAGCTTCTCGGCGATCTCCTTGACAACCGGGTCGCTGAGCACACTCGTTCCTGTCGATCCAAGAGGCGAGTAACCCTGCGGTAAACAATGTTCTTGAGCTTTTCTTCTTTGATATAACCATAGCTCTTCCTTACCGAGAGATGGACTCCTTTGGTCTTGCAAAACTGGCGAAGCTTGTTTTGCTGCCACAGTGGATTGCATTCCACCTGGTCCACTGCGGGTGGAATCCTCGCGGTGTTGAGCAGATCTTCGAGCTTCTTGCAGGAAAAGTTGCTCACGCCGATCGCTCGGACTTTGCCCGAATCGACGAGCTTCTCCATCGCTCGCCAGGTCCCCGGGATGTCTGGAGCGATGAAGCTCTCGGGGCTTGTGTTCATTCCTTGGACGCTGTTCTTGAATCGAATAGGCCAGTGGATCTAGACAAGAGAAGAATCGTCAGCAAAAAAGTTTACAATCATCCTAGAGTTCTAAAGTTGACAGGCACAAAAGTTCTTTTGATCTTACGAGATAGAGATCCAAGTAGTCGAGCTGGAGATCTTTGAGAGTTGCCTCCAGCGCTTTTGGCACGTCCTCCGGATCATGGTCGGTGTTCCTGGTTTAATTCCAACACAAGAGGTGAAAAAGGAGACACGAGATCTTCTTTGTTACCAGAGTTTAGAAGTAATCCACACATCCTCGCGCTTGACAATCCCGGATTTGAAAACTTCGCTCAAGGCCTCGCCGATCTAAGCAAGAACGCACGAATCTTTTAGAGCTTGAAAGAAAGAACTCAAAAGCTACCACTTACCTCTTTCTGGTTTCCATAGACGCTAGCACAATCAATATGACGATAACCAACCTGATCAAATAACCACATTCAGTCCCGGATCCAGCGAAACAAAGAAAAGATTGGATCTTACTTCCAGGGCAGTCTTCACAGCCTTTCCAACCAAACCGGGCTCCGCTTGCCAAGTTCCAAGACCCACCGCCGGGATCGAAGCTCCATTGCTGAGCTTGAAATGGAATGGACCCTCCAATCCAGCCGACGAACCCATGGCACCAAGAAAAAAAATTTCCACCAAGCAGTGGCAAAAAGAAGAACAAGAGAACTCGAGAAAACTCGAAGAACTCCTCTAGCAACCAAAAGTTTATATAGCTCAAGAAAGAAAAAGAGAGAATTCCACCTTTCTAATTGTCTGCTCGACACGTGGGCCAATAGCGAAACGCCATTCGTTTTTCATAAAGAGGAATCGAGCCGGAGACGTGTTCGTCTTCTAAGCAGTTTCACGAGAAAGGACTCGAGCCGTGGACCTGGTCGTGAACAAATTAAATGTCGCCCACTCGTTTCTCAGTGGTCCAAATGGATGGTCCCCGTTTTCTAGAATATGCGCGGAATAACCATTTTACCGCGCTTTTGTTTATCCTTGGGAAAAGAATGTCCGTTTCAAAAATGCCGGGAGTGATTGACGGCCCAAATCTATCTCGCGGGGCGCACGTTAATCTCCGCCCTTAGCTTGGAACTGTCGAGATTGCGCTCGCGCGTCTACACCGTTGATCTGGTAGGGTTTTTAAGGCATCTTATTTTATTTGTCTTGCGTGGAATGTGGCTATGGTGGAGCTTCCCGCGGCGCGCTTGAGCTCCTCCTCGGCGTCCTCGATCGATGTTGGTGAGGGTAGGGCTCGCGGTCACTTGCTCGGTCGCGGCATTGGCGCTAAATCACATCAAGAGCAAGCGCGAGAGAGATGCCGCCGGTAGGTTTTCTTGGATGCATTGCCAGCGGATTGCCGATGCTCTGTGTGGAATTTTTGTCCAGAATTTCAAGCGAGGATCGCCAAGAAGAAGCAGCGCAATGACAAGGAGATCGTTGCCTATGGAGACAATCCAGCGCCGAGTGAAGAGGTATGCGATGTTGCGTAACAACGCTCCCAATTTTCTTTTTCTTTGTCATTGAATAGGAGGAAGAAGAAGTGAAGCAAGTTAACGTGGTAGTTCGCAAAAACGAGAGAAACGAGCTGCTTCTTCCAGAGATCGAAGACCTTATATCGAATGGATTGGACATTTTTCCAGAGCCAGATGATGGGAAAGGTGGAATTAAACTCGTGGATGAGATCGGGGATTTGAAAGCCAGGCTCCAGCAGCTCCAGGAAAAAGAGAGGAAGCTCAACGCAGAGCTTTTGGATTACTATGGTCTCAAGGAACGGGAAAAAGGCGTCAAGGAGCTGGAAGCTCAGCTTCTGGTAAAGGATGAACAGATTACTAGCCTCACGGCATCAATCCGGAAGTTGGAGGATGAAAAAAAGAAGATGGCCGACGACATCAAAGCCGCTAGTAAATCCAGAGGCGAGCTCAGTGAAGCAAGGATGAAGATCAAGGATTTGCAGAAGCAACTTTCCAGTGGAACGGGAACAAATGCGGCACAGAACGCGGCGCAGATCACCATGTTAAAACAGCAGCTCGAAACACTTAAAGCTAAGGAGCAGAGCTCGATGAAAAGGAATTTTGAGATCGAGAAGAAAATGCAAACGTTGAAGGAGCTTGAGATTGAGGTGGTCGAACTTCGCCGGACTTGTAGAGAGCTTCAACACCAGAAACGAGACCTGACAGTGAAGCTTTCAGCAGCCGAAGCTCAAGTGTCTTCATTATCGAGCGTAACAGAGGTAAACAGCCTTCCTTCTTTCGGTTTTTCTTTAGAACTTGCTTCTTTCCTACACTCTTTTGGTTTTTACAGACTGAGCTGGTGGCCCGGGCAAACAACGAATCTCAAATTCTAAGACACGCAAACGATGACTTGATGCGGCAAGTTGAAGGCCTTCAAAATAATCGGTTTAGCGAAGTTGAAGAGCTTGTTTATTTACGGTGGGTCAATGCGTGCTTACGCTACGAGCTACGTAATTTCAAGGCAGCCGATGGGAAATTTACAGCTTTGGATCTCAACAAGAGTCTGAGCCCGAGATCTCAAGAGAAGGCGAAGCAACTTATGCTGGAGTATGCTGGTCCCGACTTACTGGCAATGAGATCCAAGGAAACTCTACCGGACAGTGGCTATGACAGTCCTTTCTCGCGTACGTCCTCCGACAGCATTGACATGGACGACTCGCAATACGGTAGTGAGGAATCCAGCTCCAAGAAACCTGGCTTGATCAAACGACTCAAGAAGTGGGGTCGTAGCAAGGATGATTCTCAAGTTGGCGATAAACCGAAAGGCGAGAAGAACAAGAGCCCGGGGCATAGGATTGCCACACCGGCTAGTCCTATGGGACCTCTAGAAACGATATTGCTAAGGAACAGCAAGGACTCTGGGATCACAACTTACGGTTCTGTGGACACGGATGGTGCTTCTCCAAACGAATCGCCTGCGAAGGGAAAGCAAGAGCCAGCAAAGTTGACGCCACTAAAGACCAAGTCGGACGGCCTAAACAGTATCGCTGCTTCATTCCAGCTTATGTCACGGTCCGTTGTAGGCAGTGACGTTGCCGACAAGTACCCCGCTTTCAAGGACAGGCACAAGCTGGCTGTGGAGCGGGAGAAGGCTATTAAAGAGAAAGTGGAAGAGATAGCAGCAAGCAAGAAGCCAGAGGCTGTCGCGAAAATGACGCCTGCGGAAGTTGAGAAACGAGAACTTCGGGTTGCTAAGCCACCTCCAAAGCCTTCCTTGGCTGGGCCACCAACGCAGACTGTTCTCCCTCCCAGGCTCGCAGGAACTGCACCACCGCCACCTCCGCCTCCTCCAGGTATTCCAGGTGCTCCACCCTTGCCACCGGGTGCTCCAGGAGCGCCACCTCCGCCGCCTCCCTTGCCTGGCATGGGTAAGCCACAGGGCCAAAGTGGAAGCAAGGTTCAACGAGCTCCCGAGGTGGTGGAGTTTTATCAGTCCTTGATGAAGCGAGACGCAAGGAAAGATGCGGCAGTTTCTAGCTCCGGAAACGCATCATCAGAAGCTCGAAGCAACCTGATCGGTGAAATCGAGAACCGGTCATCACATCTTCTAGCGGTATGTAGCTTTGTCTTGCGTTATTTTTTATCTGACTTTTGTGTGGATTCGCAGATAAAAGCTGATGTTGAGACGCAAGGCGACTTTGTCAACTCACTGGCTGCTGAGGTTCGTGCTGCAGTCTACTCGAACATTGACGATATCCTTGCATTTGTCAACTGGCTTGACGAGGAGCTCGCATTCCTGGTATGGATAGTACTGTAACCGGGTTGTAACAGGCTATAACAAGAGCTTTTCTTGCAGGTGGACGAGAGAGCGGTCTTGAAGCACTTCGATTGGCCGGAGGCAAAGGCTGACGCTTTGCGGGAAGCTGCGTTTGAATATCAAGATCTCCAAAAACTAGAAGCGGACATCTCTTCCTACAAAGATGACCCCCGCGTACCCCGAGACGCCGCTTTGAAACGAATGTTTTCACTCCTAGAAAAGTAAGCGCTCCTTCCTTCTAGTCCCTGACTTTTTTAACTTCTTGTCCTTGCCACCACCACAGGGTAGAGCAAAGCGTATTCGCACTCTTGCGAACAAGGGACATGGCTATAGCACGCTACAAGGAGTTCAACATACCAACGTACTGGATGCTCGACTCGGGACTTATTGGAAAGGTAAATGTTGACAGCACGCACATCTTTGTCTAAAACCAAGAGTTTTGCTTTTGTCTTTCCAGATCAAGCTCGCATCTGTCAAGCTAGCGCAGCAATACATGAACAGAGTTATAAAGGAGCTGGACTCTGTCCAAGATAAGGAGCCGCTACGAGAGTTCTTGCTCCTCCAAGGAGTCCGGTTTGCCTTTAGAGTTCACCAGGTAGAATCGCTAGCCAAGCTTTTGCAAACTTTCGATCCATTCGGCACTAATCCTGAGCTTGTTCTCTTCAGTTTGCTGGTGGCTTTGATCCAGAGAGTATGCGAACATTCGAAGAGCTGCGAAATCGTGCTCAAAGTGAGCAGCTCAAAAGGTCATGAAAGTATCCTAACCTTCAGTTTTGCTTGTATCTATAGTGTCATCTAACAGTGGGCCTGGACAAATGTATAATTAAAACTAATAATATGGAAACAATCTTTCTGTGGTTTTGATAGACAAGGAAATCTAGAAAACAAACATACGTAAACCAATTCTATATATAAAAACCAATACATATAAACCAATTATATTGATTGAATTCCATTGCCTTCCAGTTGCTTGGAGCATGATCTCCAAAGGTGTCCAACAGCAGGGCGTACCAAGGCATCCAGTGAAGTTATAAAGCTCAAGTGGAACCCAAAATGCTCATCTTGCCATTAGAGATAGTATTCTGTCAAGATCATCGCCTGGTGAGTGTTACAAAAATGTGATGGGCTCCTTTTCTGGAGGCTTTGCAATCCTGTCACAAGTAATATCAATAGCAAACTCATAATCACTAAGTGTCTATGTTGTTAGCATGAGCAATGCTTGTGCCAAGACCTTGCATTTGAAGCTGTATTATATCATTTTTACGCATCCCTCGAGAAGGTAGAAGACGTCAACCACGTCGTCAACCAGTGCCCAGCGTACACTAGCTTTGGTAGAGCGTGATCAGAATGGCAATAATAGACTTTAATAAATAATGCGTTTCTATAAATCGGCAAAACTGTAAAGTAAGGGTTTTAGAAAACATGTCGGCCCTTAAGCTCCTGACTGGCATCGGTTTGGAGGAGACAACAGCGAGGAGCGCTCTTGAGAACCCCACACTTCTGTCCGCTCTCATTGCCATCATCCAAGAGGTGAGCCCATCTTCTCAAATTGCTCTTCTTGTGTCTTCTCCAACCTCTCTTTCTGCAGGCCGGAGTGGACAGCGGCTGCGACAAGCACATTGGCAAGCTTCTGTATACGGTATGGTTTTTGCCTTTCTTTGCTCGGCGGAGTAAGATCTTCGACCTTTCTCTCTGCCCAGGTTGCCGCAAGATACATCAATGGCGATCGCCCGCAGCACCTGTCCACTGTCTTGAGCTACATCGCGTCTGGAAAGGTGGGAACCTTTGTGCTCCGCTTTCTGATGAAAACAAAAGCTCATGTTTGTCCGTTTGGTAGATGCGGAGCCACCAGCTAGAAGCAGCTCTAGAGTACATCACTGCTGCGAGGCGCAAGTCTATTAATCTCACCAAGTTTGAGAAGGCATGCGGAATAGGTAAGTCGAGTGTTTGTTTATCTTTTTCTTTTCTGTTCCTGCTCATGCACGGTGTTCCAGTGCCTGTCGAGGATGTGAAGGCTGCAGTTGATACCGTGATCAACAGAAACAAGGAAAAGCTTCTGGCGGAGCGCTATGCTGCCTTTAAAAGTGAGCTTTGTGTTTAACTTTATTTCTGATCGCTTAACTTTCTTTCGGATCAACTTCCAGTGTCATCTTTGGTGGCGCAGGTGAGGGAGCTCCAGCCGCACGCTGATCACAGAGACGTGAAAGCGGCACTGGATGGGCAGCTCTACGAGCTGCTGGGTGAGAAAACCGGGGACGCACACAAATCTAGAAAGGCCAACAAAGCTCGTGTTCCCGAGCAGCTTCCAGAGGAGGACCTGGATCCGTTCTCCTCATTTCCGAGCCCCCTGGACAACACGGGGCCTCACGTCGACGTCGAGCTGAGCGATGGAACGGTCTTCCGCCCGTCCAACTCGAGGGAAAAGCTGGAGAAACATCTCAGCGCCACCGGAGGGGCGGTGGTCACGCGTTTTCCACCCGAGCCCAATGGATATAGCCATTTAGGACATGGCAAGGCCATGGGTATGAACTTTGGCTTTGCGTGCGGGGCCAACGGGAAATGCTACCTGCGGTGAGTGTGGTTGAAAAGCTTTATCCATGCATGTAGAGCTAACGCCTTTTGCTGTTTGGCTGTGGCAGGCTGGACGATACGAATCCAGAAGGCGAGAGTGACGAGTTCACTGCCAACATCCAGGATATGGTTCAGTGGCTCGGGTGGAAGCCATTCAAGGTACAGCCTCTTTCTTGCCAGCCTTTCTTCTTTCTGTACTGATACCTCACTGTGGATTTGCTTCAAAAGGTGACTTACTGTAGCGATTACTTCGAAGAGCTCTACGAGAAGGCTGTCGAACTTATCAAGCGAGGTTATGCTTATGTGGACCATCAGGTGTGTGATCTTCGTCACCTTGTCGAAAATCTCAACTCCCCGGTGGTTTCTTTCCAGACGCCGGCAGAAGTAAAAGAGTACCGGGAGAAGCTATTAGAGAGCCCCTGGAGGAACCGTCCCATAGACGAGTCCCTGGAGCTGTTTGAGAAGATGCGGGCTGGTGCCGTCCCAGAAGGCCAGGCCACCTTGCGCATGAAACAAGACATGAAAAGCAACAATGGCAACATGCTCGATCTCGTCGCTTACAGGATCAAGGTAAATCTCTCTCTCTTTCTCTTTCTCCAAGTTTCCTCCCTGACGCTGGAATGCCTCTCTCTAGTTTGCCTCGCATCCTCGAACGAAAGACAAGTGGTGTATATACCCCACTTACGACTACTCTCACTGCATCGTCGATTCTCTGGAGAACATTACGCACTCGGTATGGACACTGATTCGTTTTTCCCGTCCTCCGCCTCACTTTTTTCCCTTGTCACAGCTTTGTACGCTGGAGTTTGAGACCAGGCGCGTCTCTTACTATTGGTTGTTGGACAAGCTTGACATGTATCTCCCGTATGTCTGGGAGTATGGCCGCTTAAACGTGTCCAACAATCTGCTATCCAAGCGCAAGGTGAGCTTCCCGTTCGAGCATTCACAGCGCTGTGACACTGTTTGTTTTGGCAGCTCAAGTATCTGGTAGACAAGCAAATGGTTGATGGTTGGGATGATCCTCGCCTCTTGACTCTGGCCGGGCTGCGTCGAAGGGGCGTTCCGCCGAACGCAATCAACAACTTCTGTCGTGCTCTAGGCAGAACACGCAGGTTTTTTCTTTTCTTTTTTCTTTTGTGGAAGTTTAAACAGTCTCTGATCTGGGCTTTACAGTGACAATCTCATAAGCACGGACCTGGTAGACCATTTCGTGCGGGAGGAGCTAAACAAGACAGCACCGAGGACGATGGTGGTCTTCCAGCCGCTGAAGGTTCGTCGCTTCACTATTTCTGTATTTTTCATTCACTCCCCATGCATGAAGGTGACGATCATCAACTTTGAAGGTCACGAACAAGACCAGGTTGTGGAGGCGAAGCGCTTCCCGGACGCAAACTCTCCCACGTACAAGGTTTGTGGAATAGAGATTTGCACAGAAGAAAGAAGAAATCATCTTTTCCGCTGGCAGATACCCTTCACCAAGACCATATACATCGAGAGAACGGACTTTCGAGAGCACGACTCAAAGGACTACTATGGTCTGTCCAAAGGAAAGTCGGTGCTGTTGCGGTATGCGTTCCCAATAACTTGCGTGGATTACATCTGCGTGGATGGTGAGGTTGTGGAGCTTTTGGCAACTTACGATCCCCTCAAGGCCATCAAACCCAAGGTAGTCTTCGAGCTCATCTTCGAGCTCATTGATCATATTTGCTTTCCTCCCGGTACTGAAGTTGTTCGATTCTTTTGCTCCAGGGGGTCATCCACTGGGTTCCCGAAGCTGCGCCGGGAACAAAGGAGCTGACGGTCGAAGTGAGGCTTTTCGGCAAGCTGTTCAAATCAGAGGTAAAGTAGTGAGAAAAACCTTTTCTTTTTCATACCTTCGTGTGTGTGTGTAACTGCAGGATCCCAGGCTCCACAGCAACTGGCTCGAGGATTTTAATCCCCAATCCAAGGAGGTGATCAATGATGCGGTTGCTCTCCACTGCTTGAAGGATGTGAAGTGCGGGGATTGCTTCCAGTTCGAGCGCAAAGGTATCACACTAATTTTTCTTCCTTGTTTGGGGACCAATGGCAAGCTCTGTTCTAGGCTACTTCGTTGTGGACCGTGATTCCAGCTCGCGCAAGACTGTTTTCAACCGGATCGTCGCTTTGAAGAGCTCGTTTAGAGGATGATGGTCCACGCTCCGATGGGCCTCTTTCCAAACTGCTACCAATGCGAATCCTCGTAGTGCTTTAGGATGGTAAGCCCAGTTAAGTAAAAGAGCTGGAACTTAACTTGTTTTTGCAGGATCGATGCATTTTGCTCGTTGGAACTCGATCTTACAAGAGACAAATGTTTAATTAAAATAGAAACAATCTTTCTGTGGTTTTAAATCTCTAAAAAATGTGATTGTTCCACTTCTCCCACTTGTACCACAAACACGTCTCGCTCAGAACATGCTTTGGTATCTGTACAGCTGCTTCCGTCCCCATACACAAACCAATTATACTGATTGAAATCCATTGTCGTCTAATCTGTTGGATATTGAGATGTCGTGCCCACTTGCACATAATATCAAGATCGAGTGTCAGGGAAATTTGCAATATGTCACAAGTAGTATCAATAGCAAGCTCATGGAGTAAACATTTAATACCTTAATAAACTATTTCTTCGTTTCATTTTTGAATATTGTCTATACCATTACTTTTGTTCAGATGAGAAGACCAGCATACTTGGAGATGATCATCGAGACATCATATTTTGTATTAGCCAGCTCACCTCCCGCAGGGCATATTCCAGGGCTGCTTGGCTAGTTCAAAAAGTTGATGAAGCGACGCGCAAGCTGCGCATCATCAGAAGCTCGAAACAACCTCAGTGAAATCAAGAACCGGTCATCACATCTTCTAGGTAGCTTTGTCTGCTTTCTGTTTGAATTGTTTTGTACGATCTAAGAACTGTGTAGATTCGTAGATAAAAGCTGATGTCGAGACACAAGGCGACTTTGTCAACTCACTGGCTTCCGAGGTTCACTGACGATATCCTTGCATTTGTCAACTGGCTTGACGAGGAGCTCGCATTCCTTACGGATTGTACCGTAACATTGCTGTAACAAGAGCTTTCCTACAGGTGGACGAGAGAGCAGGCTCGAAGCACATAGGCAAAAGCTGACTCTTTGCGGGACCCTGCGTTTGAATATCAAGATCTTCAAAAACTAGAAGCGGAACTCTTCCTACAAAGATGACCCTCAGCCGCTTTGAAACGAATGTTTTTACTCCTAGAAAAGTAAGTGCCTCTTTCTTGTTCTAGTTCGGCAACCGT